GTATAGCATCACAGGACAGATAGATGACCCCCATATTTTAACTCAAGCATTCCTTTCTACTGGCTCCAGGTCTTTAAACAAAGCTTAACTCTTTTCACCAATTGCCAACTAAAGAATCCCTAAAAGCCACCTATGACTTATAAACACCCACTTTGAGATATCCCCTCCTCCCTTTTTGGGTAAACCAATGTATACCTTTTATGTACTGATATATGGTTTTACCTGTAAATTTTCTGTCTTCATGAATATATAAAACCAAACTGTAACCTCTTGAGACCTATTGAGACCATGTTTCCCAGGCCACAGTCACTCATATTCAGCTTAGAATAAACCTCTTCAAATTATATTACAGAGTTTGGAATTTTTTCCCATTAACAATTCCAGTGCCCAAGATGAGGACTGAGGAGACTCAGGATCCCACACTTGGTGCTAGGTACTGGCATGGGCTGCCCTTGGGCCCCTGACTTTGAGCTTCTCCATGGGCAGAACAAGTCCTCCTGAGCCTTGGACCTCCTGCTCTTGGTTGACAGTCCCTGGTTTATTCTGAGCTATCTGTTCTTTTCCTAGGAAGTTCTTTATTTGGGATCCTAATTTTGATTTGGAGGTGGATTCTAAAGGGTCTTTTCCACTGTTTTTTCCTCCCAAAATTAATCTTAATTGGGTTGTCTGCATATTTATATAAGGAACTGAACTGTCCTTTTCATAGACAAATGAGAGATTGAGTTCTTCAGCTCCAAAGAGAAAGGGAATTTTACTCCTCCCAACCAAAAGGCACCCCTGGGTGACCAGTGGTTTAAGTGGGAGTATCTAGGGGGCAACTTCCTGAGATAGACAGGGAACCCCCAACAAAATTAATTAAAAGGAGGCTCATCCAGGAAATGCATATAAGATCTGATTACTTGGTGTTCAGAGCCCTCTTGGGGGTGATAGACTTCCTAAGAGAGGAACTGAGATGTGTAAAAGAATGGGAACCACTCCGTGGTGAAACACTGTGGAGACCTACCCACAATTAGCATACTCTGATTCACTACAGTAAGCCTTAGGCCAAAGTTCACTTCCTTATTTTAAGGAAAAATGTGAAACAAATCCTCTAAAAATGAAGAATGACAAGAATGATCCCTTCCAGGCTCCCCAGTTAGTTTATGGCATCTCTTCTTCCAAGAATTTGTGTAATTGGAAGGGTTCAAAGGCATGCCAGGCTTTCTAGGACTCCAGCTGGTTACATATTATGGCCAATTCTTGTGCACATGTTTAAACTGATGGGCCAATTACATCAAAGGAAATTCGAGGCTCAAATGGTTGACCTGCCGCTACACAGTTAAAATGTCCAGTCTCTTAAAATTAGGATCCATTTTATTTTTTGCCTATGCTGAATCTGCTGTTACATTCTATTGGTGTTCAGATAAAACCCACTGCTTATGGTACTACTAATTCAAGGCTACTTGGAAATCTTGGTTTTCTTATACAGTTCAGCCAGTTCTAGCTAAAATATAAACACAAAAAACTCATTGAAACCGAAGAAAAAAAGAAGGAGATAAGAGATTTAAAATCGAACAGCCACAGAAAGTGCTTTACTCAAGACTTTGGTCCACAGCTTTCATTATATTACCTATGGGACAAATAAAGTTTAGCCATATGGACAGGTTCTGATTTTGTCAAAATTATAATTTAGATTTAACCATTTTTCATTAACCAATGAACTTGCAATGCTATTTCATGGCTAGAGTTCCAAGGTAAGTGCTATTGGAACTTTGTGTGCATGTGTCCATATATGTTTAGATGTGTTTTTTATATGTACATGTATTATGTTATATGTTGGGTTGACATGATACCAAATTGGCTTATAAACAAAGGAGCACTCACAAATTAACTAAATAAGCCCAAATGCTTTTCAAGTTCACCTATATTTAAGTAATCTTTGATAATTAAGCTGGTTTTAAAAATTATTGCAAAAGTAAAAATACAAATGAATGTCTTCAACATTGTCAGCATACATTTTTTTGCCTGGGTTTACTCATCATTTTTTTTTTTTTTTTTTTTTGAGACAGAGTCTCGCTCTAGAAAACAGTGGTGTTCACTGTTCACTGCAACCTCAAACTCTTGGGCTTAAGCAATCCTCCTGCCTCAAAATTATAAAGCTATAAACCCCTTGGCTGGCATGGTGGCTCACACCTATAACCCTAGCACTCTGGGAGGCTGAGGTGGGCGGATTGCTCAAGGTCAGGAGTTCAAACCAACCTGAGCAAGAGTGAGACCCTGTCTCTAATATAAATAGAAATAAATTAATTGGACAACTAATATATATAGAAAAAATTAGCCGGGCATGGTGGCACATGCCTATAGTCCCAGCTACTCAGGAGGCTGAGGCAGTAGGATTGGTTAAGCCCAGGAGTTCAAGGTTGCTGTGAGCTAGGCTGACGCCATAGCACTCACTCTAGCAAAAATAAAAAAATAAAATAAAAAATAAATAAAACTATAAACCCAACCAAAACCAAAATGATCATTGTGTGATTTTTGATAAGACTAATTTAATATTTTTAATTTATGAAAACAGCTGAATCTTCTGACTTATCAGCAAAAATATCCATGTGTTTAACTTTAAGGTTCTTATTTAGGTGAATAGCTATAATAATATTCATAGGCTATAAGAATCATTAACCGAAAAATAAATTGAAATTATAACTAACTTTGTCTAATATTTGAATTTGCATAAGTATTCTAAGTAAACCACTAAATTAAATAAATTAGGTAAGTTTAAATGAGATAAATGCTTGTAAATAAAATTTCCATACAATTTAAAATTTTTTAATTAAATTAAATAATAGATACTCATTAAATGTCTGGGTCATTTCCAACTGACAGAAAAACTGTTATAGGAAACACATGTCTAAATATTATAAAATTGTTTTCATCTATAAAATATTGATATATGAGAGACCATTCAAGATTTCTTGCTGCCCAAGTTTTCACTAAGGTTTGGGTTACTGAGAGTTAAAATTTCTGTTCAATGTGTGTGATAATATATATAAAGTAAGGGAAAACTAAATATGTAAGATGTGTTTTTGATGAAAGCAATTATAAGAAAGACATAAAATGTGTTCTTTATTAAGAAAAAATAATTTCATCTAATTCAAAAGTTATTTAAAGATGAATTCAAAATATGAACTGAAAAAGGAAATAAAACAAGGTAAAAAGGAATCAATAAGTAAAAGAGAAATATATAAAGTTATGAATATGAAAATATATTTTTGGTAAAGAAAGTTAAACAGAAAAGAGAAAAATTTTGTATGAGGAATAATCTTATATGGTAAATTTTTGTCCTAAAGTAAAACAACTGGTTATTTAGGAAACGGGAAATTTAGGACAAAACAGAAAGTCCAAGCATGTTGTAGCTGTTCTGGGTATATCATAATAAGGTTTGTAAAAGAGAATTTACAAAGGAATTTTGCATGTGATTAAGCTGGCTGTAACTAAAAGGAAAAATTTTTAGTTAAAGCAACAGTTTTCTTAAAATATTAATTTGCTCTTAATGAAACTCCAAGACAATTTGATTTTAATTTTATAGCCTGTTTCTTTTTAAAGCTTCTCAGACTTACATGTTTGCTGTGTCTCACTGCTTTCAGTTTTTCTCACCTTGAGAAGGCCGGGATGATAACTCTTTCAATTTTTTGTTGGCTGCTATAATTTTCCCCCCTCCAGTTCAAGATCTGTCGTTATGGCCTGATGGTAAAATGTTTTATCTTAAACTTTTAGAAAAGCAATGTTTTCCTCCAATATAACTTAATTCTATACTCTGCTTTTCTTGGCATGTTTGAATTATTAATATTTAATATGGTCAAAATACTTCTCATGCTGTTGCTAAGAGTTACTTGTTCCCCTACTCGAGGTACTAGTTTTTCTTATTTGCGTTCCTCTATAATATACTGTACCCTCATGACCCTGGACACATTCTTGCTGTGTCTGATTAATTCACGTTCCCTTTTAATCAGGTTTGACTTCCAAGTTGTATTCCATAAGAAAGGGACTTCCATAAGAAAAAACAATCATGCTATAAAAGGTTTTTCTTTACCTTTGGGGTAGCTGGTTTAAAAGAAAAGAAAAGATTTTATGCTTTATCAAGATAATTTCTATGTTGTCTTTATTAGGTTTTGATTAACTAAGAAAACTGAACTCTAAAAGGGTTAAGATTTTCACACCCATATAACTTTCTGTATTGCCTTTTAAGTCTTTTGATGACTATCACTCTTGGTTAAATGAATGATTATCATTTTACATTTGACTGATGGTTCTATTTTGAGCAAGTGTTTTAAACCTTTCATATTTGACAACTTTCCAAAATCAAAATTTCAAATTACCTCAGACTAACTTTTTGATACTAGGACTGCTGGAAGTCCAAGAGATATATTAGATTTATTTAGTTTGTTAAAATTATACAGGAAACATTGTCACATATGCAGTGGTGTTTAACTTTGTTTGAGTTATATTTATATAAATGTTATTAGTATGTTCTCCAAAATTGTAAGAAACTCCTAAGATTCTGATATGTCTTAATATATGTTATCTGGTAGGAATTATGATTATTATGTTAAATTGTTGTATGTCACAGAAATAATGAAATTTCCTTTGTATCTTTAATCATGGCTATTCTAAGACTTTTGTCATCCACAGATAATTATTGTTTTACTTTGATTCTTTGCAAAAAGCAGTTTATAATCAACTACAGTCCAAAATTTGCTGCTTCTGTAAGGAATGTCATGGAAAAAAGGATGATGTGTACTCTTGAATAGAGGTTTTTTATAACTTTGGAACCTAGTACCATAGCATTGGTAAAAACTTCCAGGAGTTTAATTTAAAAGCTGATACATACATGAAGATTGCTAACCCAACTTCAAACAGAACAAGGGTTAATTATAATTACATGGGGCCAAACTAATAGAGGATTGTAACATTTTTATGACTTTTCGTTTAAAACATTACTGATTCTTTGTTTTGTTTTCCAGAGTCAAGACAAAAATTAAGTAAATAGCAAAGTTTACCTGATATCTCCAGAATTTGAAAACTATTCAATCCTACTGGACCCAATCTATTCTCCATTACTAATGCCCTGCTGCTAAAACTATACAGATATCTTCCCTCTAGGCCCAGGGACTATAGCGGAAGAGGTGGGCGTGCGAGATTGTACGGGCCGATTTCGAGGGATGAAATTAGTTTAAACCTTCCAAATCAAGGACAGGCACACAGATGCCTAAACAGCTGGCAATTTGGGTGACTTTGCCTCTTAGGCTATTATGTGGCTCCCTTTTCATCCACCCCAACCATAAGCAATCCCCTGCTTCCCATAGACTTAAAGGAGAATTCCTGAGAGGATATCAAGATACCTGGTGGCAAAATCTGTTCTCAGTTTATGCAAATAAAAATATAATAAGGAATTTATTAGCTAGTTTAGGACAAATTACTAAGACAAAAAATATTGCAGTGCAACAAAATTCTCTAAATTCCTTAGCTTGAATGGTTTTAACAAAATACTTATGTTTTGTATAGCAAATTGCTACAAGTCTGCAACTAAAACCAAGACTACAGTAGCTCAACACTCATAGACAAGCTAATTTTGTAATCTTGCTTTTGGCATTTGGTTTTTGCTCTTATATTGCTTAAAAGGCACCAACTAAAGGACTCCTTATGATCCTGCTGGAAAAGACCTTACCAGGTAATTTTAAGTAACTCCTGTGGTGCAAAATTAAAGGGAGTCACTTCTTTGATTCACATCTCACCTAAAACAAGCACCCAACCATTTTACTGATCATACCTGGATCTCCAAGCTGACACCTGCCTGCGATTTCAGAAAACATAACCATGGCTCAGCTGGTCTCCAGAGCAACAACCAAAGTAGACATTCTTCCAGAGACATGGGACCAGGCCAGTGCTCCTGAACACTGCAGTAACTCTCATTCTTACTTTACTTGCTATAGGATATATTGCTGAAAACCCTGAATGCCTTAACCAAGACCCCGGAGAGGTAGTTTGGGATCTATGGAATCTCCCTTGGTATAATTTCCTAAATGGGTATGGTTACTAATTTCTTGTTAATATTAGAAAAATGTTTTACCTGTTCATGCTCAATCCCATACTCTCCTCTATTTATCTACCCCACACTCCTCTCTTCAAACCTGAAAACTTCTCCTGATTCCCTGAAAACCTCACCGATTTCCCTGCTGACACAGCCCACATCCTTTGGTATGATCTTAGATTGGGATGAAATGAAGACCACTGAATAGAATAGTTTCACTCTCAACATTCCCCGAGGTGCCCCCTTTTCAGGATACCTCAATTATAAGACTCTCACCAAATACAATGCCCTGCAGGAATATTTACCTAACAGCATCTTGGGAAGATTATTGAGGGGATCTAATCAGATAAACTATGGTATAACAATAGATATTTGTGATGATAAGTTAGGAAATTCCCTGGATATGTTGGAGAAAACCTAGCTGCCTCTTGTGTAAACTGTCACAGCATAACCTGCCCAAATGACCACCCAGCCCTGTGCTTGTGGCTGGATGCCTTTATCTGGCACCGACCACACTGCCACTGCCCTTAAAGAACTATTTATGGGAGTCAGTTGGTGGACAGAAGTACCTGACAGTACAGATTCCAGCCTAAGGCAAGGGCACCTCCGGAAAGCCTTATGGAATACCCAGACAAGGGCATACTTAGGCATAACCTCTGCTCACCTGACAATGGTTTGAGACACCCAGCTGTTCTGGGTTGACTTCATTTATCCAAATTGCACCGATGCCATTAACATACAATGGCAATAGCATTCCCAGTGGATACACGAAAATTGGCCATCCAAAAGACTAAAATGTGACCTCATTGAAAGAACTGGAACTGAGCTAGGCATACTGGGATAAGCCGAATTCACAGCTGATGAAGAGAGGCATTCCTTACAGAAAAATTCCCTCTCAAAAAGAGCCCACATAGAAGGAATGTTATTCCAAGAAGAGGGAAAGGGATGGGAAGCATTCATCAAATGGATAGAAGAGATAAGACAAGCCATAAAAACATACTCCCAAACCAAAGGTGGGAATGAGTATATACTCTACCCCAACAAGGGTTCAAGTCCATGTTCTTACAAATGGCATTTGAGGTAACCAGAAAGCAATGGCCTATAATACTCAGTGCTGAGGTTCAATCTAAACACCTATAGAAAACTTATGGTCCCTCAAATTTATGGAAATTTTTAGATGGTAAATGTGACCTCAGACATTTTTTTTTTTTTTTTTTTTTTTTTTTTTTTTTTTGAGACAGAGTCTCACTTTGTTGCCCAGGCTAGAGTGAGTGCCGTGGCGTCAGCCTAGCTCACAGCAACCTCAAACTCCTGGGCTCGAGTGATCCTTCTGCCTCAGCCTCCCAGGTAGCTGGGACTACAGGCATGCGCCACCATGTCCGGCTAATTTTTTTTATATATATATCAGTTGGCCAATTAATTTCTTTCTATTTATAGTAGAGACGGGGTCTCGCTCTTGCTCAGGCTGGTTTTGAACTCCTGACCTTGAGCAATCCGCCCGCCTCAGCCTCCCAAGAGCTAGGATTACAGGCGTGAGCCACAGCACCCGGCCAGACATTGTATTCTTAAAGCTCAAGCACCAAAGATGAATGAGGCTCAAGGTATTCTGTAGTTCAAGAAACAGGTATTGGGAACACTGTAAATAATAGGAGGATACTCCTATGGGAAGTTGGTGGGCTATTTTATCTTGTGAAAACACATGACATCCTATTTCCCTCTCAGTTTGTGAAAACAGAAAAAGAGAATAGTTATGCCCTCAAACCACTTGGAACCCCAACTTCTCTAAAATTTGACCCTCAAAATCCACCCCCATTGGACATAATGTTTGGTATATGGGAAAGGACCATTTTGTTGGGAGGGATGACAAAATGACACTGTAGAGTTATATGATTTCTCCTGTACCAAAACCTCTTTTTTCCCTCCCAAATACCAGTATATAGTGCAACACAAAGATGGTGGGAAAAATAGATTGGTCAACTATAAACAAGCTCAATGACAATTTAGACACTGAAGACCTATGTTTCTTGAATTTGATTTATACCCTCTTCAGGATGTTATACCTATGAAGACCAAATGACCAGTAGAAAAATTAAATTTATTAGATTCTGATTTGGTGTTGGTACTACAATCCTCAAATAAAATGTACCATAAGGTTCAAATGACCATTGATAAGGCGAGTAAACATATTGTAAGTCTGATTAAAGAATACAGTGATCTGTGCAGGGGATTTTTCAGCTGGTTATGTTATTAACTGCCTTCTGATTCTACCTGTTACTTTCTTAGATGCCTAATCTTCACTTTTTTATGACATTTATGCTATATTATCATCATATATCTCTTAGAAATGCTATGCCAGATACAGGAAAAGGAACAAGACACAAAAACTCAAATCATGATAGCTTGTATTAAAAGAATAGATATGATCTAGGATGTTTTCTCATACTGAACCCTAGGCCTGACTCTCTATGGCCCCTTAAACAATTGGCTATTATTATTAGGTATGAAATGTCCGATTTCCTTAAATACTAAGTTTGACAGTTGATATCTCTGACATTTCACTTTGACATTTCTTTTTATATATTTATTGTGAAGGTACATCCTCACTCTTTCAAACACGCAGTTTGGCTTGTGATTACTTTCAATTTTTTTTTTAGAGCAATTTTTGTGAAACCATGGATAAATCAAAATTTCACATTATTTTTGAATGAGTTCTGTCATGGAGCCAATGCTGCACAGAGAGCTTGAAATATCAATGGAGTGTTTGGGAAGGATGTGGCTAATGAACACACAGTATGCCAGTGGTTTAAGAAGTTCCATTCTGGTGATTTTAAACTTGAAAATGAGTCATGTGGACGACCTGAGACCAAGGTGGATTATGAGCTGAAAGCTGTAGTGGAAGAGAATCGATCTCAACCTATGCATGAATTAGCGGCAAGGTTTGATGTTACTATTCTAACGATATTGGACCATTTGAAACAAATCAGCAAGGTTAAGTAGCTGTATAGATGGGTACCACATGCATTAAACAAGTGTCAGAAGGAAAATTGTCTCAAAACTTGCCTTTCTTTGCTGGTACAACATAAAGGTGAGCCATTTCTACACCTTATCGTTATATGTGATGAAAAATGGATTCTTTTTGACAATCGCAAGCATTCAGCACAATGGTTGGATAAAGATGAAGTGCTGAAACACAGTCCCAACCTGAATATTCATCAAAAAATAGCTAATGGTGTCTGTTTGGTTGGATAAACGCACAATGGTTGGATAAAGATGAAGTGCCGAAACACAGTCCCAACCTGAATATTCATCAAAAAATAGCTAATAGTGTCTGTTTGGTGGTCTAGCACTGGTATTATCCACTATAGTTTCATAAAACTTGGTCAATTGATGACAGCTGATGTCTACTGCAACCAATTGGATGAAATGATGAAGATGCTTGCCATTAAGCAGCTGAGATTGGTCAACAGAGACAAGGCAATCCTTTTGCAAGACAAACTCGACTATACGTCACACAAACAACACTGCTCAAACTACAGAAGCTGGACTTGGAAACTCTCTGTCATTCAGACCATATTCACCAGAACTTGTACCAACTAACTACCACTTCTTCCAGGCTTTGGGCCACTTCTTGCAAGAAAAATATTCAATATTAAACAAGCTATGGAAAATGCCTTTTGCGATTTCATTGCCACTTACTCTCCAGGCTTCTTTGCTGCTGGCATAAACAAGCTACAGTTAAGATGGCAAAACTGTGTTGATAGTTTAGTCACATACTTTGATTAATTGTACCACTTCTTGTTTGAGATATAATAAGCTTTTGATTCAAAATTGGACATTTCATATTTAATGACCTAATAAATCAGGCCAAACTGAAACTATCATCACCAACGCCAGATGACCAAATAGACAATTCTAGAAATGAGCTTTCCTAGCACCGTGGGATCTCCTGCTGGTTGTTGGCCTGCACATGCATTCCATGGAATGATCTTTGGCCAAAAGGGGGAACTGAGGGCTGAGCTCTGACCTTTATTTTTTCTATTGCCCAAATTCCTTCCTAAGAGGCCTGGTGAGTCACGCCTACAAAAGATAAAAACCTCATTAAATGTGTTTTTATTAACCCCATATAATGTAGCTTACTTTCCAATCTGATTTTGCTATACCATCACATGACAGAAAACCCCCTTATCTGAACCTCATCATTCCTTTCTACTGATTCCGGGTCTTTAGAAAAAGCTTAACTCTTTCAACCAATTGTCAACTAAAGAATCCCTAAAATCCAACTATGACTTGTAACCCCGCTTTGAGATATCCTGACTTTTCAGGCTTAACCAATATATACCTTCCATGTGTCAATTTATGGTTTTACCTATAATTCCTGTCTCCATGAATGTATAAAACCAAGCTGTACCTTCTTGAGACCATGTTCCCTGGGCTGCACCCGCACATATTTGGCTCAGAATAAACCTCTTTAAATTACTGAGTTTGGAGGTGTTTTTTCAGTAGGGAACCACATCCATCTTTAAGAGCGCGAATTGGTGCATTTTGACGAGTGTCTACGCCTGCGCTTAAGCACTACCCTGGGGAAGATACTGGGTATTTCCATCACCCGAAAAGTTCCCCGTGCTCTTTGCCATTTCACCTTTGCCCTCGTGCTCCAGCAAACTCGGTTCCGGTATCTGTTCCCGCGGATGTTTTTTTGTCTGGTCATGGATGTCGCCCACAGGGGACCGCGCGTTTACACCTTTGGTGTCTGGCTTCTTCCCACCCGTGTTTGAGATCTCCTCAGGGGAATGAGTTCAAACTCCCAACCAGTGGCTCTACTGAGGGACCAATTGATCGATCAGCCACCGAGCGTAGAGGTCCCAGCAGACTGCAAGGCACGGAGCTGGTGCCCAACACGAGGTGGATTTCCCTGCACTGGGATCCACTAGGGGGTGGTCGGGCGGCTGAGGCCTTGTGGTTTCGGCGCGCTGGGCCCAGTTCTCTGCGCGGGGCCTGGCCTGGCCAGGTCGGGGCCGCTCGGCTCAGCTCGACTCGTCCCGTCCCGGCTCGGTCCTGCTCGGCTCCGCTCGGCTCGGCCCGGCTCGGCCCTGCTCGGCCCTGCTCCGCCGGCCCCGCGGGAGGGCGGGCGGCGCCGCTGGAAGTGACGCGGCGAGGGCGGGGCCGCCGGCCTGAGGAGCTGCCGCCGCCACCGCCGCCGCCTGGGCCGGGAAGCAATGTAGGAGCCGCCAGGCCGTCCCCAGCCCTGCCCGGCCCGAGCCCCGCGGGCCGCCGCCGCCACCATGAAGAAGCAATTCAACCGCATGAAGCAGCTGGCCAACCAGACCGTGGGCAGGCGAGTGCGATGGGCCGGGCCGGGCCGCGCTGGGCTGGGGGTCGCGCCGGGGCGGGGGGCGGGACGGCTCCTCTTCGGGATCGGCGGCTCTGGACCGGGCCGCGGCCCCGCCCGAGGCCAGCTGGGCCCGGGGCCGGGGTCTGCGCCGCGGCGTGGCCGGACGCCGAACTCTGGGCAGCCCGCCTGCAGCCCCGCCACCGCCCGGCCCCTGAGACCTGCCGGGGCGGGCCGCCACCTCCGCCGCAGCACCCCTCGGGGTCCCCAGTGCCCATTGTCCCTGCCCCGTGCAGCATCGCCTTCCGGGACTAGACCCGCTCCGTAGGCTCTCTTCCCCGGGACCGAGCCAGCCCGGGCTCGCCGCCTCGAGCCAGGACTCCGAAAACTTCTGTGCCCGTCGCGGTGACGAGCGCTGTGCTTTGGGGGGCGGTATTCCCAGCCTTTCCGGGCTCACCCGCCGTCGCGAGCCCTTCTACAAGTGCATGGTGGCAATAGATAACTAGAGAGTGACTGAAGCCGGTCGGATTTGCTTAGTGAGTTTCAAGATGCCCTTTGAGGGAATTCGGAGGTGGTGCTGTCTCAAAACCAGGGCTAATAGTGCAGGAACTTGACTGCTGCTGCAAGTTCTTGACATTTAGAAATTTGGAATTGGGAGAAAAGGATTATGGAGACACCTTGCACCAATTAAAAAAAAAATTTTTTTTTTCTCACCTTGGATTAGGAAACTGATACTTCTCCATGTTCTTTTGGTGCTGCTTGACTGCTTGACAGGAAGCATTATTGATTCTGAAATGACAGAATAGACCAGAGTTTTGCAGATGATTAGGCTGTTGGAACAGGAATGATTTGTGGTTTTGAGAGCTTCGAGAGGTGATTGTCATGTGCTATATGATCTG